CGTTTTTCATAGAAGTCTAGTAAATATAAATGTTTATATATTATTCGATATTATTTTACAGATATGCAAAAAATTGAATATATCTATAAGACTTGATCATTAAGTCAATATTTATCATTCAATCTTTTTACAACTACACGATGGAATACAATGCTACCATCATTTTTTTTTCTTAATCAGGGCTTTATAAGAAAAGAATTTGCAATAAGATCAAATAATTTTAATACCTATAAGAAAAATATGAGGAATAAGTTTAATTACATAATGTAGGTGAAATTCATGAAAACTCTAAAACTAATAGAAGTCTTTTCGTTGCATATGTGAAACTATTCGATTTGTCTTTAATCTCCGTTTATTCCTTCTCGTGAAAACTATAATCGATACTTTCATACTAAATATTTTAGATATTATTGAATTTATGTAAAACTTATGGCAGTTTCGACAAATAATGCAGATGCTTTGCGTACGGCTGGTTTTCGTCTTTGTCGATTATATGGATGGTCAAATTATAATGGATTGGGTTTCAGTGTCCAAGCTGCACCGCAACCACCTCACCTTATTCGATCGATTAAATCCAATAGTCCAGCAGCTGCTGGCGGACTTAAAATTCGTGATGTTCTTCTTGGTATTAATAATCAAGATGTATCTGAAATTAAATATAGTGATTTAACAAAAATGATTAAAGATGCATCAGATAATGATAATAATAACAATGGTATTGAACTACTTGTTGTTCAACAAATGTATTATAAATCATTAAAAAAGAAAGGTGTTTCATTTGATTCGAAACTAGCTGAAAGATTTGAAACACCAAAAACAATGCCATCCGATTATATAACTTTTCCTAAACATACACCACGTACATGTGAAATACATTTATCTACAATTGATGAATCATTTGGTATTGAAATTATCGAAGGAGAACATGATATCGGATTATATATACAAGAAGTTGAAGTAAATTCACCGGCTTATAGAACTTCATTACGTAAAAGTGATCGAATTATTGAAATTGATGATAAATTTATTAATAATGAATCAAGTGAAATGATCATAAGAAAATTATACAAAGCTAAATTAAAACGTATCGTGAAATTATATGTTGTTGATACAAATACGTATAAATATTTTCAAGAAAATAATATACCTTTATCATCGAAAGAATATTCACAAAGCGCATTTGCAAAGAAATTATCAATTAATTCATATATCAATCAATATGAAAGTTTATGTTAAATAATGATGTTTATGTGAATTTTTATGTATGTAGTTTCTTTTTTGATCGATGTAAAGAAATAAACGATAAAGCAGAAGTCAGTATATATACAGACTTAAAAACAAAAGAATCTTGTCTTGCCAGAGAAGGAAAATTTCGTTAATCGATTCTATCGGATGAACTAACATAATCCGATAGCCTATTTATTTTTAGGTTTTTTTTCAAGTTTAATCAAAGATAAATATATAAAAAAAAGAAATAAATATATTACGCTTTTCGAAAAATCAGTGAATAAATAGAATAGTTTGATTTATTTAATCTCAATAATTTTACTGTGCCGTGGATTAACTTGTTTTCCATTCAATTTAGTTAATTGTTCACCATTCGTATCAAAATTATCTGGATTTAACCAACGTTCTAATTCTTGTTTTATATATAGCCATTCATCATCAATAATACTAAACCATTCAATATCTATTGATCGCCCTTTACAAACTTCTGCTTTTAACCATGTACCGTCATATTGAAAGCCTAATCTTATTGCTGCAGCTCGTGATTTTGCATTCAAAGCATTGCA